TTCTGAAATTATAAGCTGCTTTATAAATATAATAGCATAACATGAAACATATTACATGTTACCATAACACTAGATAAATATAATGTTCAAGAGTAGTCATAAATTGAAATTTCAACAAACCCATTCTTCCCTTAACTGATCAAAATGGGTTTTGCTTTTCCAAAATGATACGATGTCTCGCATTATAATGATAACTACACGGCCCGTCAAACCTTCAGTACCTCTCAAACGCCACAGTAATGGATAAATATACCAAGTTATACAGAACTCAGTACTGCTTTTCAATGCAGCTGGTAGAAGAGTTAATCCGATTTATTACAGAGAAAATCTAATTAACTACCTGGCTGAAACATATATGAATAAACCCATTGGTTAAAGCGTTCTTAGTATAATTACAAAAATCAGGATATTCGCGTACCGTGCTGAAGAAGATCTGCACTGTAGTCCGGATCAGAATAAATGTGGTAAGGCAGCAGTCGAGTGACGGCGTCGTTCAGGTCTGCAAATGGTGTTTTGCAGTTAGGATGAACAACGGCAGTCTGCTCGTTGACCAGCTGTCGTCTAATGCTAAATTACATATAATATTATACAAACGTGCAAAATGCAATTTGTAAATTTCACCAAGCTGATGTATTCCGCTGCGCATACCTAACTCGTGGACACATTTCTAAATCAATTGTTATTGTTAATTTTAAACACTCGCTACGCCTCTCAAGGCAAGTATCATGCAGGGAACCCCAAGAATCTGAACATTCTGATTTCCACGGCTGACCCATGGAAGCGAAACATATCTAACTTAGTCAAATGTAGGGTCGCCATAAGCCTAGTGGCTAAATCTGCCGACCTAACAGACAGCAACACACAGGATCAATAAAAAACCTTAAGTTCATCGCTTACCCGGCACATCTCTGTGACGCACTGTTGTTCGGCACTTCGATACGAGATCGAGTTTTTGAAAGGCGCTTCGACGGCTGATGTCCGCCCTTAGACGAAGTTCGTGACGAAGCGGGAATGTGTCTGGCAACCTGCACATCGCCA